ATTAATTTTTCAAGATTTAATGAATTAAAACTTTTGTTAACAACAAGTACATAAAAACCTGGAGACAGCCCAGCTTACAAAAAAAGGCAGTAAAAAAATGAAAATCGCTGGAAAAAACGAGTTTAAATTCAATGGGAGGAACTTCATTAAAACAACGTTGTTCTTGCTTCGGCTGCTTCGGCTGCAAACCAAAGGAACAACTAAAACACAGACTAACGAATATTTATTCTTTCTTGGAGGTGTTATCACCAATGCTTTGATAGACTAATGCTACTCTCGAATACTGATTGTAGTGGAAAATGGTCACCCATCGTATTGCTGTATTCTCGTTCTATTGCTATGCGTAAGATTTACTAACACATTTGTTTTTTGAAAGTTATTATTTGGTTGTTGTTTTTTTTCTATTTTTTAATTTTTTAATATAAATTAAATCGTACAAGATGCGAGTCTACAGATGCCAAGCATTGACGATACTAGAGCATTGTCAACGGTGAGATCAATATTTTTGGTTAAGCATAAGTGTAAATGAATACCAATTCAGTAAGAGTGTTTAAGCCAAAGGTATTTCTATACTGCTAGTATGGCTGCGTTAATAGCTCTTCTGTGATTAATTACTGCTGTTTTCCAAGTTTAGTGATTATTATCAAAAGCTAACTTAAGAGCATGACGTCTAGTAAACTGACCCTCAGCAATGTTGAGAAAAGGGTGTGTGGAGCTATCCCTGAGACAACTACCAATACCAAGATTATTCAAAGTTGCTATCAGAGATCGGTTGCTCTTGGAACTACAACTGACTAAGCGAGGCTGCTAAATAGGGTCATGCTGAAACTATTAAATACCTTATTGAAAAGGTTTCCCCTGTAATTGAACAAATAACTTATAATCACAAAAAATATTTAAATTTAGATTGTGCATAAACGCAAATATGTTAAACGACAAGAATAAGAAGAGTGGTAAAACTTTCGAAGTAAAGTTAACAAAATTTCCTGTTGTAATCTGGCGCTAAATATCTTTGTGAATATGTACTACAGCTTCTAAAAGGAAGAGACGCAAAGCCAGTTGGTTTTTTCCCAATGATCAGTTTAACTTCATAAAAAATAACGTATATATTTTAGTAAAAGAATTTCATAAACAACAAGTAATGATAAATGTTTATATTTTGTAGGTTACTTTTTTTGCCTTTAATTGGAGAAAGTGTTCCTGATGACAGTTTGAGAAAAGTTTCTAAGAAAATTTTGACAGCTAAACTATCAATTCTTTATAACTTTACAGGAAGAAAAGGAAAATTAGAGTTTGGTTGTCTAGTTTGGGTGAAAAGTGTGATAAATGGTAGGTATACTTATAAATAATATTATTTTGAAAAGCTAGTTATATATAAGACAAACCTTATATTTTCTTTGTCGTTATGATTACCATCATAAATATTTTATAATAAAGTTTTGTATTATAATCTTTCCATCTGCTATATCAACAGCTAGTCAACTGGAAAACTTACTATCTAAATGGCTGTCAGAATCTATTGACACGGTTGGATCTGTAGAAAAGAGAAAGAAATGCAACTTTACGATGATAAGAGAGAGAAATATTTATCTGCTAAGCAGATAGAGCGGATCCAACTACGTTTACAATGCGTCTTTGGACCTTGTCTAAAAGAGAAACATCATTAGAAGAACCAGTGAACAATATGTCAACAGTAATTCAGGGACGAATAAAAGATTTTTATAGGCAGAGTATAAAATCAGGAGAGAGAAAATGGCGAGCACAATAAAGAGAAGCAACCTTAGCAGATGCTAATTGGCAACTAATCTTATATACGGTTTTCATGAAAGGTCTGTAGTATATGATAATCTAAAAAGTCGTAAAGAAGAGGACTCAGTGAAAAAACTTGTTGATATATAATAATATATAATAATAAGTTGAGACATCAGCAAAAAGAGCTACTTTAGATGTAAGGTTGTCGGGAAGATCATTAGTGTAGATAAAAAACAAAACAGGAAGATGGCTCCAAAGTATCATTGGGAATGATATTTAAGTGCCATGATTCATCCAGCATTTTGCCGATACTTGCCCAATAAAGGTCCAATTACGCTAATAATTCACTTATTCAATAATTGCCCAATGTTTGCAACCAATATCGAATAAATATAGCCATTAATTGCTCAATAATGACCCAAGGAATTTATGCTATCTGGTTTATTTTTGTTGATATCTATTTTTTTTTTAAATAATTTAAATTTAGCAAAAATGTTTTTTTACCTTTGTCCTTCTTTAGTCAATTACGTCTTTAAATCAAGAACAAATTGTAAAATACTGTAAATATTTAATCAAGTCTTTTTACATACAGTTTAACTATAGTAACTATAGTAACTATAGTAACTTGTAGGCCAATTTAAGGTGGTTATCAGGTAAAAAAATTATTTTTTGATTGCCAACTTAATCATATACCAAAGTTAGTTTAAAAGAAACATACTTATTAATATAATTAAAAATGATAAAAAAAAAATAATTTCCTTTTTTTTTTTGCTGAATCAGCATAAAATGCAAAAAAATCAATGAAAAAAGAAAACAACATTTTCTCAGCCTCTTTATGACATTATAAGCCAAAACTTACAACACTGATAGATTATAGTGTATTAAACAAAAGCTTACTAGAAAAACTAAAAATAATTATTATTTTTAAAATGGCAGCTTTTTCAATTTTAACGGAAATTATTGATACAAAAAAAAAAGGTAAAATATGAATATATTCAAATGGAAACAAGCTTAAGATTAGTTCTAGTAAGCTATTGCAGTTCTATCTATAAAGAAACAACCCTGAAAATTTGAACTCAATTGCATATCTGGTTAAAAAGATATGAATGATTCGCTTATTGCAGTCAGGCAAAAACAAACAATTGAGAAATCAAGCTTCAAAGTTTAAAAACAATTTATTAATTAAAAATTTCCTGTAATATAAGAGTCTACTCCCTCTTTTTCTTTCTCCTTATCAATATAACCCTTCCTGATACATCTCCTTTTCCTTCTAGCCCTTTTTTGCTTTGGAGTTGAATTTTTAATCGTGTTCTTTACTCTTGATACGTCCTTCTTCCACGATCCTTGGATCATAAAACTTCCAGGCAAGAGCTGCAAATAATCAAAAATTCTTGTGAAACCTCTCAAACCATCATTGTAATTTATTACAGCTGAAGCAACACCAAGATCTAGTACCTTTTTAGTAACAAAAATATTTTTTGGACACTTTTTCCAGATTATCTGGTTGAAAGCCTCATTTGGATTTTGTGTTGCGCCATCCAGGCAACTTTAAACTTTTTTCTTTCTGCTTAACAAATAACATCAAAACATACGGCTTTGCTAAAAATAACTCTGGTTCAAAAGTTTAGTTAATTATACAGACCCATGAAAAGAAATAATTGTTTAAATCTAGGTCTTTGGGTAATATATCTATAAAAAATTATTGGTTGCTATGCGGTTGTTAAGTAAATTTTTTTTACTCTTACCAACTAAAACAATTTTTTTACATTTTTTTATTAATTAACCCATATCATGTTATATATGGTTAAAAAGCCAATTAAATTTTAAACAAAGTTGGCTGATAAACTAAAAAACACATTTTTTCACAAAAATCGCTATTTTTTTACCTGATAACCACCTTAATAGACAATAAAAAATTACTTTTCTCCCTTATGGATGGGTGCATGTAATGTTTAGCTTAAACTAAACTAACTACGACTATTTTAGAAAATTTTGAAAACAAATTATCATAGTTACAACGTATAGTTAAAATAAAAAAACTCAATAAAATACCAAAAAAAAGTATTTTTCAAAGGGGTTTTCCTAAAATTTTTATAATCTGCTTTACAATATTTTTCCATAAAGTTGTCCATAACAACTGCCTATATAAGACAGTATATTTTACCCATTAATAATAAAACAATATATCTTTTTTAAATGTACTTTATTATTATAAATACAATTTAACTTTATTAATTTTTACAATTTAACTTTTTTAACTTTTCCGTTTTTAATTTGGGGAATAACAAAGTAAGATTTTTTTGGCGGAATGAGTCTGAAGGTGATCTGATAGCATTTAACTTTGCTTCTCGTCGCATAAACTATTCAAATGATATGGTTCCCAAATAAATGCCATTATTTATTTAAAAAAAAATAATTAAAATCTCTTTCATTTAAACAAAATGTTTTTAGTTAAAGGTCACACATTAATTTAGTGTGATTCGATACATTCAGTTCTGGATAAGATAATAAATGCACCAACATTTATCTTCCACGTGAGAATGAAAGAAAGCAAAGAACAAAAAACCAAATTAAAACACTAAATATTTAACCCATAATTTTCCAAAAACTTTTCTTAGTTATGTAGATATACTTCTATACGACGTGGTAAAAAATGGAGGATCCCACACTTACTAATTTACAGGAGTAAAAACAAAGTAAAGGTAAAACTTATTAAAAGCTGGAGTTTGAAGATAAACAAAAAGATACCAAAAAAATGCCCAAAAATTTTTGGGTAATTTTGTTTTTAGACTCCAGACACCGCAAATTTTAGAAAAAATATTTTAATTTAACATAAGCATGAACAATCTTAAGTTTCGAGTGTTTAGTAAAAAAAAAATAAAAAAAAAATATAAAAACAAAATTGACAATAAACATGTTTTCATGTGACAAATAAGAGTTCTCATAAGAGTTGTTAAAAAAATGTTAGAGATATCTCTAACATATTTTTTTCAAAAATATTTTTTAACTTTTTAAGATATTTTTTCGTGACATATGTCACAAATATTAGGCTTATTTTGCTACTTTTTTTACTATTCGGTATTCTTTTTTTACTATTCGGCCAAATACGGAATACCAAGTTGTAACAAAAAAATGCATAAAAAAGAATTATATTTTACAATTTTTTAATAATTTTTTTTTAACAACTAATTGACATATTTTATACTTAAAATCGATAGGTGGTAAGTTATGAAAAAAACATATTCATGGTTTAATGATAGCAAATGATTGCGTTTTTTCTCATAAGTTATACATACTTCCAAAAATAGTCATTCACTGTGCACGCTGCCACCGGCAAATAATAAAAAATTTTAGCAAGTTCTTTTAGGATAATGTTTTGCGTTTACTGACCACCAAATGTAAGAGTTTCTTGTCTAATTTAAGCAAACATTTTCATGTTAAAACTAAATTTATTGTTACTGAACTATTTTTTTCCACATATTTATATGTGCGCATATTTTTTGTAGAGATTGGTTTGATCGTTTTCCTTTACATTTGACAAATTTGATACATGTGATGATTCGTCTGTGTAAAGCACTCTTTCACTGAGAAGGATTAATCTTTCATTGACTTAATCTCTCACAAATGAAAGATTGTGATGTGTATGACACACATCGCTATCTTTCTCAGAATATTCATTTTTTTTTTGTATTGTTTTGTTTGTTTTATCTAATCTCTTAAAAATAGTTTTCAAGAGATTAGATAAAACAAAGGTAACCGGGTCATTGACACTTTCATTAAAGTTAAACCATTTCATTAGGGTAACCGTATAATTGACACTTTCATTAAAGTTAAACCATGCTTTAGGTTCAGGTTGTAGTAAAAATATTATTTCTAATAAGTGCATAAAAAATGCAAGACAATACCTGAGTTGGTTATTTTGCCTAAATCCTAATGTGTCTCAATGGTAATACACAAATCACTTTTAAAGTAATATATGAAAGCATCTAAGTTATAAGATGCCACAAAATAAACCAAAATGACGTAGCAAAAGAAATACCAAAGTTATTCAGTTTTTTTTAGTTTTCTCAAAACAAGAAAAAATGACTTAGGCAATTTTGCTATGATTGTGACGATATTTATGTGTTGATCTTGAAATTGTGATATAAAAATTCTTTGTTTAAACTTAAATTTTATATATATATATATATATATATATATATATATATATATATATATATATATATATATATATATATATATATATATATATATATATATATATGTTGTCATGCGTTTGTTTAAGAAGCTTAAAAAAAGCTGTGAAGGGTATTGTATTGTTAAAAGATAAAAGAGGATTGTTTTTGAGTAAATTGATATAGCATAATGTATCAAAGTTATGCCAAAGCAATATTTTTTTTGTTATTATTGACTCAGCAGTGTTATTGTTGAACATATTCTTCTTGAGTAAAATGAGTAGTTAATTAATCACAAGTTTTTTTATCGCTTGAATTTGTTTTTAAAATTTTTTTGAAATTAAATAGTTTCACTTCATCGATAAGAAAATAAAAACGCTTTTTCGTTTATTTTTAAGGAAATTATGAAAATCAAAATGCACTTCAATTTTTCTTACAGAAAACATTCTACTTCTATTTATATTTTTAGATTACATAGCTTATTTTTAGAGCATTGATAACATTTTTCAATTTATCGTTTTTGAAAATGGCAAATGTTTTAATAGCAAAATCGATCTACAAAAAAACATATGTTTCAAAAGTTGCAGCAGCAAAAATCAAAGAAAAAGTAGATCAAGTTGTAAATTCAAATGAAAACAACTTATTTAAAATCGATTGTTTAAAACAAATAGAAAAAGAACAATATAAAAGTTTGATCCATGAACTTGCTTATAAGAAGTCTGCAGAAGAGCTAAAGGACTTGGCAATAATCATGAATGATTTGGGGCGTTTAACTTCTTTTTTAGGAGAATTTAGCGGCGATCTAAAATATTATACCGAGGCTGCAGTATTTTATCAGTATGTCATTGCGATACTAGATCAGAAGCTAAATGAAAAGTTAATAAGAATTGAAGATAAAAATAAATTTATAAAAGAACACCATATAAATCCGTATCATCAGTTGGCCCATATACAAAAGCTATTACTTTTAGCAACTGGTGGCGACCAACAAAAAGCGCTGAATATACAAGAGGAAACGGAAAATTATAAAAATCTATTATCAACATTGCGAGACGAAACTTCTCAAGTAATAAAAGAGTTAGAATCTAAACGTGAACAGGTTAAAATGGATAATCAAAAAGAAAAACTAAAATATCAAAAGTATTATGTAGATGATGTTAGAGCATGCTTTGAAAACATAGCTGATGCAATGAAAAAGTTTTTAAAAAAATTATATTATGATAGTGAACAACAAATGGTAATAACAAGGCCGTGTAAATATGCAGTTATAGGACTAGGTTCAATGGCACTTAAGCAAATGACACCATATTCAGATTTTGAATTTGCTATTTTGACAGAGAATGATGACTATACCAAAGTGATGACCCTAAAATAAAAAAGTATTTTAAAAATCTAAGCCACTTAGTAAACTTCAAGATTATCAATTTAGGAGAAAGCATTATCCCTACAAGTAAATATGGTTTAGATCTGAGTCATATAGTAAATGTAGCGGTTAACTTAGATTTAGGAGGTAAAACACCACTCGGAAGAATAGAGGGCGATAAAGTATATGATTTAATACAACCAATTGATATGATGCTTAGTTATGTATATAATAAAGAAAATTGGGCAAGTCATATTGATAAAAACCTGCCATATATATTACAAAACGTTTGTTATGTTTATGGCGATAATAAACTTGTGGAAAATTATAAAAAAAAAGTTACAGAGTTTTTGCGTAGTCATGAAAACGAACAAACCAGATTTAACTGTGAGTTAAGAGCCATTAAAATACTCAATGAAGGTATATTAGAGCTTGACTACCTTCATACAACACCACATCTTAAACCAAAAGAAACCTATTTTAAAGGTGATATACATAAATTTCAACCTGACTTCTTTGATACAGAAGGTCAATTATTTGACGTAAAGCAAGAAATTTATCGGTTACCTGATCGCATGATACATAATCTTGGTTTGTATTATGGTATTGAAGAAAATTGTGCTTGGGATATATTAGATAAATTAGAGGCTAAAGGAATTATTAATTCACAGGCAGCACTTAATTTAAAATATACTATATCTTTTGCTACTTCCATCAGATTAAAAACTTATTCTCATCACAAAGCACAGAGAGACGATATGTCAGTATTTGTCAGACCAGCTAAAACTGAATCTGAACTTAAAGAGAGATCTAAACAGATATTTTATTTAGCTAAAGCAGATTTAGAAGAACACGGCGAGTTGTTTCAATATTTTTATACAGCGTTACCTTTTCATGAAATGATAAAAGATTTTTGCAATCAATATCAGACATTAGACGAAGCATGCAGACTATCTTTTTTTAAAAACAACAATTTTTACAAAGATGATTGTGCTACAAAAGGTTTTATTTATTTTAGATTAGCGCAATATAAAAATGCCGAGCACAATTTCAAGAAAGCGTTAGATGATCCAAATAATAACAATATATGGCAAATAGGGGAAACATTAGGACGTTTATATCTTAGTACTGGTAATTACGATCAGGCTATTAAGCAGTTTGAGTATTGTTCTAAAACGATAAAACTGATTTCTTGTGAGGACCCTCATATTAGTAACTTTAGCGGAGAGTCTTTAAATAACTTAGGGGTCGCTTATAGTTCTAAAAACCGTTATGATGAGGCAGTTGAATGTTACAACAATAGTCTAAAGATATACAAATCTATATACAAAGATGAGCCTAACCCAAACGTTGCCTCCTGTTTAAATAACTTAGGAGAAGCCTATAGAAATATAGGTCAATACGATCAGGCAATAGAAAAATTTAAAGAAAGTTTAAAGGTTATAAAATTAATATGCCAAAGTAAATCTCATCCAAGTTTTGCTGCTTCTTTAAATAATCTAGGATTAGTATATAACCGGAAAAAAAATTATGATAAAGCAATTAAATATTATGAGAAAAGTTTAAAGATTCACAGGCTTATTTACAAAGATGAACCGCATCCTCGAGTTGCAGATTGTTTAAACAATATTGCAATAACTTATCGAGCCAATGGACAATATGATCAGACCATCAAGTATTACAAAAAAAGTCTTAAGATTTATAAATTTGTTTACCAAGATGAATTTCACCCCGTTGTTGCTGATACTCTTTATAATTTAGGGATAGCCTCTGCGGCAAAGTTGCAGCATGATGAAGCTGTTAAGTATTATGATGAGTGTATACAAATTTACAAACACATTTACGATGATGAACCTCACCAAAACATTGCTTTATCTTTCAAAAATATTGCAGCTGTTTATAATGCAAAAGGGCAATATGACAAGGCGATTGAGTGTTATGAGGAGAGTCTTAAAGTTTACAAACTAATTTATCAAGATAAACCTCACCCTGGTGTGGTTATTGTTTTAAGTTCTCTAGGAAAAGTGTATAAAAATCAAAATAAATATGACCAGGCAATAAAATACTATGAGGAAAGCCTATTGATGGAAAAACTGATTCATCAAGATAAACCTGATACTAGTGTTGCCGATAGTTTACAAAATCTCGGAATGTTGTTTAAACTTGTTGGAAAACATGATTTAGCAATTAAGTATTTCGAGGAGAGTTTAAAAATGAAAAAATTATTCTATAAAGATGAACATCATTCTAGTTATTCTATTACTTTAAATTTGCTTGGATTTGTTTATGCTGATACAGGTGACTATGATCAAGCAATAAACTACGCTATGCAAAACTTAAACTTAAACAAACTAGTTTATAAAAACCAACCTCATCCTGATGTTGTTGATTGTTTAAATAATCTTGGATTAATTTACAGTGATAAACAACATTATGATCAAGCAATTAACTGCTTTGAGCAGAGTCTGGCAATGAATAAACTTATATACCATGATAAACCTCACCCTAGTGTTGTTACTATTTTAAATTCTCTAGGATATATGTATAAAAATAAAACCAAATATCATCAGGCAATTAAGTATTATGAGGAAAGCCTAGCGATGGAAAAATTTATTCATCAAGGTAAACCTTACCTTAGTGTTGCTGATACTTTACAAAATCTTGGAATGTTGTATAAACTTGTAAGAAAATATGATTTGGCAATTAAATATTGCGAGGAAGGCCTTAAAGTGAAAAAGTTTATTTATAAAGATGAACATCATCCAAGTTACTCTAGTTCTTTAATTTTTCTTGGATTAGTCTATGCTGATACAGGTGATTATGATCAAGCGATCAACTACACTACGCAAAACCTAAATTTAAACAAACTAATTCATCAAAATCAACCTCATCCTGATGTTGCTGATAGTTTAAATAATCTTGGTTTAATTTACTACGATAAAGGGCAATATGATCAAGCAATTAACTGCTATGAGCAGAGTCTAGCAATGAATAAACTTATCTACCAAGATAAACCTCACCCTAGTGTTGCTTATTCTTTCAATAGTCTTGGGTTACTTTATATTAGTATTGGAAAGTATGATCAGGCAGTTAATTACTGTGAGGAAAGCCTTAAAATTTATAAACTAGTCTACCAAAATGAACAACATCCAGATGTTGCTCATTCTTTATACAATTTAGGTATAGCTTATTTCTCTAAAGAAAACTATGATCAGGCAATTCACTACTTTGAGCAGAGCCTACAAATGGAAAAGCTTATATATAAAAATCAACCTAATCCTAGAACTGCTGAAATTTTACATAACCTTGGGTTAATTTATGTTAATAAAAAGCAATATAAAGATGCCATTAATTTCTATGAGCAAAGCCTAGACGTAAAAAAACTTATCCTCCAGCACCAACCTCATCCTAGTATTGCTATTTTGTTAAACAATCTTGGATTGGTTTATGCTGACATAGAGCAATATGACCAAGCAATTAAATACCATCAGCAAGCTTTGCAAGTTATACAAGTTTTTGAGAATCATCCTTATACAGCTAATATAGAAAAATGTTTTCAAAAAACAGAGGCAGCATTTGTTGAAAAATCTTCTTCAAATCCGCAAGAGATAACTTCATTAATGCTGCGTCAACGACAATCAAGCCCGCAAGAGATACCCTCATTAATGCTGCGTCAACAACAATCAAACCCGCAAGAGATACCTTCATTAATTCTTCGTCAGTAGCATTCAAGCTGGTCCGTTCAATTTTTCTTTTTTAAATAATAATTTTTAGTCCGTTCAATATTTTAGTATTTTATTTATTTTATTGTATTATAAAGACCATAAAGTTATGTTTTAAAAAAATAGAAAAATAAGAATTTTTTTTTACCTCAATGTATATATGAATGAAGTTATTAACACTTTATGTTTTTAAACACGATTTGAACTTCATAGTGATTCAAACTAGGCCTGGAAGTTTTTTCCCACGATTCTCTTTAGCATTACCTGATTTAGGGTTGATGCAAACTTGTTTACATCACGTTTTGACAATCCAGTTTGACAACAAAGAGATTTTGAGCAGCTAATGCATCTGCAGCTGAAAATTATCTACGTTTAAAAAGTCTTTCAAAATAATAATAATAATGAACCCCAAAAATACATTACCTGGAACCACAGGAAGCGGTTTTTCTTCTTCTTGATTCTTTCTTACAGTTCCATGAGGTGATAAAGACTTGTTTAGAAATACAAAAAAAACTACTTTTTCAGATGAACTACCATCTTTTGTGGCATTCAACAAATTTAATCTAAGAGTTTAGTTCAACTATAAGGAAGATCTCTACCAATAATGTTGAACATCCTTTCTTAATGGCTGGTTTTTATTTTTTTTTATTTTTTAATGGCTGTTTGTTTTTTAAGATGAACCATTTGGATAGTGCTAATTTGCAAAGGGTCATTAAGTTTTGTTTTTCCAATTCAACAACTCAAGGATTAAAACTATGCTGTTACTGTTTCTTTGGCATTTTGTAAAAGTAAAGTCAGCACACTTAAAGATTAAAACTATGCTGTTACTATTTCCCAGCAAACATTGTTTGTTTAATTTTGACTGAAACCAAAATTCAAAACAAAACAACACTTTATATTTCAATAAAATTAAATTGCAGTTTTTAAAACAAGTTTTAAACTCCAAATCAAAATAAATTTAATTTAAAAATATTGATTTACATTAAAAAGTTTCTCCCACGGACGAAATAGTTTGATTTTAAAATCTATGCCAATGTGACCGTCTATTCGTGCAATACAATAATACAAAAGGTTTCTCTCGGGACGGAAAGTTTAAGTTAATTTGCATTTTGTGACAGTTACATGTTAAAACTACTTTTTCATGTCAATTTATTATAAACACTTATTCAAACATAAGTTTTTTCCAATACTTAAGACCAAAATTACATTTTTAATTTTATATATGCTCTTGAAAAGCATCTTATGACTGTATATTTAATTTATTTCGGAATATATACTAAGAAAATATCAACCTTCAATAATTCATTTAAATCTTAACTATACACAAATAAATTTATTGTGGCTACAAATTAGAACATCTTAAAATATTTTAAACAAAAAAAAAAAATGCTCTCTACTATTATGCATCTTATAATTTACCACTGATCTGCTATTGTATAAATAAAATACTACTCTATTGCATAAATAACATACGCTAAGCATGATGCTTTCATAGCAACTTGACAAAAAACAAAAAAAGAAGCTAGATAACTTAATACTTCTTTTAAAATAGAATTGTAATTTCTGATCAGCTTGATTAGAAAATCCCATTCTAATCCCAGTAGAAATTCAGATTTGGTTTGTTTAAAACTCTTTACACCATATGGGACCCATCTGGAACCTTATCCTAGTGATTCCAGCTCAATATCAGTCAATCCTGCCTAGGACCCAGTTGGAATAATTAACTGGGATATTTGCTTTTCATAAATTTATCTTAGATTTTCTTTTCTTTTTTTTTTGAGTTGCTTAACGTACACGGTTTTGAATAATCAGCTCAAAACTTACGAAGCTACAATCCCGATAAGCTATAAATTAGAATCTGATGCACTGACAAAATGTTTCCAAGTATTATACAGTATCAATAAAGTAAAAAACAAGATTCAGAATACAAAGTCTCTCTTATTCTTGTAGTTAAAATAGAATACTTTAAAAAGTGCCAACGTTTATGGTGATGTTTGAGGAGAAAACATTGCGAAGCAGACAGTATACCTTTGGTCGGATGTCATGCCAATCATTAATAAAAATGAAATCAAAGAGATGCTTAACAGAGTTCCAGTTAAAATTATTGAGTTGAGGAAAAAATATTCAACAAGGGCTCTGGCTGTTCCTCAGTCACTGTGAATCACTGTTGATTAAATTCACTTAATACTATACGTTCCGTAGAAAAGAGCTGCATTAAAAAGCCTGTTTGCATATCTAAGCGATATGTAAATAATGTGAATAATACAGGTAACAGATGTTTCAAATAGACCATTTTATCTTCCAAACACCTATCAAGTGGTCATGTTGACCGTACAGCTAAGTACAGTAATCATCTCTGAGGGGTGTGCTGTGATGGTATCAGTTTTATTGTGAAAGTAAGTAATGCTTCAAGATTTGAGCGCCCAAGATAACACTACCTCAAAAAGATTAAATTGCGTAGTCATACCTACTGACGTTCAAATTTTACTTTTTGAAAATAAACTAAGAATGCGGAAATAGCTAATTATAGCTATTTATAAGCCTCCTAATCAGAAAAATGACTATTTCTTCGTCAACCTTAGAGGGATTCTTGATTTTTACTTACAATCGTATAATGATTATATAATTATTGGAGATTTTAATTTACAACCTCATGATAAAATAATGAACGAGTTTCTCTGCCTTTATCAATGTAGTAATTTAATTAAAGCACCAACTTGTTTTAAATTGGTTGTAAAACCCACGTGTATAGATCTCATCCTAACAAATAGAAAAACGTGTTT